AATAAAAAAGGAAAAAGGAAGAGAAAGAAAGTTACAGAAACCCCAGCACTTTACCAACATGATCAGCAGCTGGGCTGCCATAGGGCCAGTTAACATCTCAAATCTTAAAAACTTATTAGGAACAGAAGTCCACAAGTTCAATTTCAGATGTCTGTTTTCACACATTTCTGCAGAACTCACTTGAAGTTTTAAAAGCTGGAACGCGGAAATTAAGATTTAGGTGTGCACTTTTGGGCATGGATGAAATTCCGCTCCTGAAAAAACATCCGTTGTAAAATGCCAAAAAAAAAATACTAAACCCAGATGATTACTGCCCTTATGCATATAGGTAAGGAGGGATTTCAAGGGCACAGTCTGGAAGTCTGCACGGAGCGAGCCTGCTGGATGCCCATGCAAAAATCCAGAGACATCATTTCTGGAAGTCTTTTCCAGATCCATTTTTAGACCTCTCTTGTATGTGTTGCTCCAGTGTGGCTATTTGGAGGAGCAGAGGAAAGCACAGACCTCTTGGCTATATCTCAAACCACTTTGGATGTTGGTTTGATTTGGAAGACACTGCCACTCCTGCCCTATCAAATCTGGCCAAGATTGGCAAAACACTGCAAAATGCTCCAAGCAGCAGCTTAATTAGTGGAAAGGAAAAGCTGAAGAACTTTGTTTTTTAAAGGCTAAGCAGAAACCTCAATGCATTTGTTACATAAATGACTTAAGCATTCCCAGAAGGCTCCAGGGTATGTTAACAAGAAGTTCACAGAAATTAACATCTCAGCTGGCACCTTCAAGGCAAATCTTGATGGGGCAAACAAAACGGAGGAAAATCCTATCTCCTCTGCCTTTCTGCTTCCCTTCCTCACTAAATAATACAGCAAAGCCAACCTAAATGTCCCTGTTAGGCACAGTGAGTATTTTGACAGGATAGTACATGAACACAGGCAAGGAACAGGTTGTAGATAGAGGGTTTATTATTTGTAAAGCAGACAAGTACATCTAGAAAATTAGTTTCGATTCACTCAGTGTGCTAAAATAAAAGGCTTCTGTGTCCTACAGTGCATCTGCTTTTCCCCACTGACATCAGCTGCTCTGATTAGAGATAACTCTTCTCCCTGCAAAGGACAGCCGAAGTGACATCCCCAACCTGCCCTCCCTGGTATGTGTTGAAGGAGGGTGGAAGGATGTAGGCCCCAAGGCTTCAGGGATTGGGCGTTGGGAGCTGCCATGTACCAGGATGCAGAGGATGAGTGTCCCTGAGGCATGCAGGTCACAGGTGGATGCAAGGTGCAGAGGATGTAGATGATGCAGAGGGGTGCAGTTCCGAAGGGATGTGGGTTCTGCAAACGGACGTGCTGTGGGTCCAGCAAATGGACGTGCTGTGGGTCCAGGGGAGTATTAGTCTAAGAGGAAGCGGTGTTATGGGGGAACACTGGTCCCAGGGGATGGGGGTTCCTGAGATTGGGGGTTCGGGCTGCTGGGGATGGATGGGGTCCTGGGGAACAAGACTTGCCAGAGATGGGGATGCCGGGGAAGGGGTGACAGGGAAGGCAGTCGGGGGAAAGGGTGTCCCACGATTAGGGGTACCGGGGGACCGGCGGGACACTCAC